GACACAGAGCTCAGTAGAGGAGGGTCAAAGAAAATGTGGATGGTAGGGGGACAGCCGCCGCCTAGAGTGGTCTTAATTGACTAGATAGGCGGGATATAAATAAAATAAATAATAATAATAATAATAATCCTCAAGAAGGAATCATTAAGCAGACTTAAGAAACCCCAAAGTCACTTCTGTGGCTTGTTCCAAATGTTTTTAATTTCAGTCATATATTCTTTTTCTTCTTCTTTCTGTTGCTGCTGAATCGGGGTGACTAAGCTCGCCAGGAAAATCGTGGGAGAAAAAGAAAACCCCAAATCCGAGAGAGATAGATAGATAGATAGATAGATAGATAGATAGATAGATAGAGAGAGAGAGAGAGAGAGAGAGAGAGAGAGAGAGAGAGAGAGAGAGAGATATTAAAGGGTCATTCTGGATGGAAAGGGGCTGCCGTTTCCATGTCTCCCATTCTGAAGATGACCGTGGTAAAAGGCTCACATCACTTTTCCTGAAAAGGGCAACGTGCTTCCTTGAAAGGTGACAGCTTGCGCTGTCTAACAAAAGGGAAGGAGTGGGGATCTTTCTCCTTTCCTTGCCTTCGCTTGCGAGCGAATCTGGTGACCTCCTCTGGACCGTTGCAAACGCGAAGCTTGGCATCAAAATTTGCTAGCGCTCAATTTTCCAGTTGCTTTCTCCATCTTTCTCCCCCTCTTTTTTTTAAAAAAAATCTTCCTCCTCTTTCTTTTTTCCATCAAGGGTCATCCTGCCAACGGGTGATTTTATTATTATAAACAGGATGTTGTATTCACTTTTAAGACGGAATATGAAACTGGAGGTAGGATTACAAACGGCACTTTCTCAGCTGCCAAAATAGAAAACAATGAGCTAAAAATACCCAGGGCAGTAAAAAAAGGGTGTTGTGGTCAGGAATTCTGAAGGATGGATTGTTATCCTCCGAAGTGGGAAGTGAAAGACTCTGCTCAGAGCAGTCCTGTGTCTCAGCCTGGAGCCCCGAGAGGCTGTACTGTCAGCAAGCAGGCAAAGTCCATAGATCTTGTAGCCCACCTAGAAGAGGAAGGCTATTAAAATCACAATTGACTGGTTAATGAACATGCTGCATCCTTCCAGGCAGAATTAATTAAATGCTGCTTCCCAAGGAGAAACCCCCCTCCCCTGATTCTCCCCCCCTTTCCATGTGAGATGTTTGCAGGTGGAAGGTGTGGTTGGACAAGGACAGTCCTATGTGGGCAACCTCATGCTAAGTGAGAGCAATGGCTGGGAGGAGCCTTAATGCTAACAAAGTGTTGATCTGGGCCTCGGACTGAGACGTAGGTAGGAGGTGACCTTGCACACGGCTCAGTTTCTCAACTCCCTTGCTTGTAGTACCGGGCTGATCCTGGCCAATGTCATGTGCCGTTCTTCCTCATGCTCCTGTGATCAGTGCATG